ATATTTACAGTAAAATTAACACATAATAATAATTGGAAAACAATATAAGAAATGAAATGTAGGAACACATAAACACAAGACTAAAATGAAACAACAAACATGACTAATCGAGAGTTAATCTCACTCTCCAATTAATATTAACTAATATCATCCTAACCAAACATTTCAATACAATCAAGTTCTTTTAATTATCTACAAAACAATTGGCCTGTTTTTTTCAAAATTATAAAGAATTATATAGCCTAATAATAAGATCTAATAAAACGATCTTATCACCTATCTCCTAGGTTTAACCTTTTTTTAAGCCAGACAAAGCATCTGTCCCAACTTTTATTATATATTGAGTCTTTCTTATCTTTTAATATATATGTTAACCTGACCATCACAGCACATCGAAGAATCTTATTTATTATCAGATGATCAGGGGGTGTATCTGCATCTTTCCAAAGTTGGGCAAATGCCATTCTCGCTGCTGTTGAGACATGGATAAATATGTACCAATCCTTGTTGTCAATCTGGTCCGGTCTTATTCCTAGTAAGTAGAGGTCTGGGTGAAGGGGAAAGCTCACACCTGTTATTTCCAGCAGCCACTGCTGTATTTTCCCCCAATAACGTCTAGTCGATGGACAAATCCACCACTGATGGAAGAAAGTACCCTTGGCCGACCCACATTTCCAACATCTATCAGAGGATCCTGGGAACATCTTAGCGATTCTGGCGGGGGGGGGAGATACCAACAGATGGTGTTTTTCCATATATATTCAGATCATCCATGTAAAGGAAGTGGGGAATGTTTTTGATGTTTGATAGCCTGACCTGTTCAGTATTGTTGACAGAGGAATCAGTACAATGACAAATACTAAAGGTGAGAGTGAGTCTTCTTTGAGGATTCCTCTCTTGATATTAACCTTTCCCAGTCTATCTCCATTAACCAGCAACTCTTTCTTCCATTGAGCCATTGATCTTTTCACAAGGCTTCTGACGTTTCTATGACATCTAGGCATTTGATTATCCAAATGTATGACAAAGTCAAATGTCATCTTATAATCAATCCGAGATACTTTCAAATTGGTCTTCCTTCACTTGCAGTTTTCCAAAATCATCAGTTAGGGGCTGATTTTTATTCCTCAGCTGTTTGGGCAGTTTCCTTTCTGATAGAAAAACCTTGTTTTCAACTAAATGCTTCTGAATTGCATCAGCTACCATACCAATCTTCAGTTTCATATCCTTGCAGTATGTTATTAAACTGCTTGGCAATGAGTGGGTCTGGATGAGCCAAATTTTTCAAACTAAAACATGCAATTCATTTTCAGCGTGATGAGTTCCTAGAAAAAAACAGATTATAAATCTAACAAATAACGCTTTAGAAAATATCATTTTCTACATCAGATCCCATTCACATCGACATGGAAACATTGCAATAAATTAATGACATCAGTAAAATACTGTTACTTAAAAGTGCCAAAAGTCCCATTGTTTTATTATACTTATTTTTCATTGCAATTATTTCGGAATGAGTATGTAATCTGATGAGCCAATTTTTGCATATCCTAAGTGTTTCTTTGCCATAGGGATATCAGTCCACTTACTGAATTTATGTGCTAAATTGGTTGGTGTTTACAACAAAAACGATGATTTTTAAAAAAAAAAATCACTAAAGGCAACATAAAGGAATAATGATGACAGTAAAAGCCAGTTTATTAGCAAAATTGCAGTGTTGCATTCTTTTATAAATTACATATTGAATATAATTTTATACATATCTTCTGCCCAGGAAATACAATTGGTGATCAGATTAATATATTAACAGAATTGTAAGGGACCTTGCAGGTCATCTAGTCCAACCCCCTACCCAGCAGGAGAGCCTACACCATTTCTGACAAATGGCAGTCTAGTCTCTTCTTGAAAATTTACAGTGATGAAGCTCCCACAACTTCCAAAGGCAAGCTGTTCCATTGGTTGATTGTTCTCACTGTCAGAAAATTTCTCCTTATTTCTAGGTTGATTTTTTCCTTGATCAGTTTCCATCCTTTATTCCTTGTGTGGTCTTTGGGTGCTTTGGAAAATAACTTGACTCCCTCCTCTCTGTGAAAGCCCCTCAAATATTGGAACACTGCTACATACAAAGACTGCTATCATCAGTCCTTCTAAATGAGAAGGATTCCCTGATACCTGTAGCTGAAACAGATTTTTCTGGTTCTATTTCACATAAGTTTATGCAACAAGAAATGAGGAAAGAATTGATCTGCCTTTTCTCTCTAAGTGAACCCAAGTTTGTATGCTGGGTACTTGATAAGACTACAGAAACATTCTAACCATGTCATATAATTATCACTGTACTGAAACCAAAGAATGTATTAAGATTTATAACTTAATAAAAATGAAAAAAAAATCTGCAAATCTCTCCCAAAATTAAAAATGTCACGGAAGAGTATTTATTACAAATGTTAGAATTTGCCAGATTCTAAATAACAAAAATATTGCCAGAAAGTACAGGTATTCTGTATACTCTCGTACTTTTGTATTCTGTGGGTATGTGCTGTGTGTATAAAGGTTGTATGTTTCTGCAGAATTTAGATAAAATGACAAAATGAAATAAATCAAGCAAATGTGTTCCACTTTGTAAAAAAAAATATAACCAGTATTATGCAGCTGATATAGCATAAAACAGGAATAGTGTTCATATATAATAAAACAAAAAAAAAATATTGGACTAGTGTACCAATAGTTTCCATTTCATTTTAAAGACAGACATCTATATAATTCATTGCAATATATCTTCTCTGTCATGCTGTTTAATGTTTACCTGTTAGGACATGTGCACTGACTTCAGCTCCCAGAATTCCCCAGCCAGAGTTGAAGTCAACACATCTTAACATCACTAAGGTTGAGAAATGCTGATCTAGGAATTTAGAGCCATATTAATCAATAATAGCCAAAAACAACAGTCTGGTAACAGCTTTTCAGATTAGCAAAATTTTATTAAAAGGCACAAGCTTTGGTCAGTTACAGATGCACCTACAGAGTGGTTAAAGTGATTTAAATTGGGTTGAGGTGGGCATGGAGTCAAGGAAAGAGAAGTACCATGAAACCTGATATTTTATTTCTGATATAAAAGATACCCAGTGAAGGCTCCTCGGTCTCTCCTGGTAGGAGAAGACCTTGTAGAAATTCTCCTTTAGGAATTTCTTTCATCAGATTATATAGTTCCTTCCAACTCTGGTATTCTATTCTATGTATACCATAATCCACTTTATTCGTAGTGACAACTCCTTTCTCAGGTTGATTATAATGTTGACATTGATGTCGTGGTTGGCATCTCATTCACCTTCGATGAATTTATCACATATGGTGATCTTTTTCATTGATAATCATTGCTTGAGGTCGTTGGCCTAAGCTTTCAGTATAGAAATCCAATTCATTTTTACATGCATGTGAAGGCAATCAACTATGTGGTATTTTTTTAATGCACTTGGGATTTGGTGTGATCCATAGTTATTCCTCTCAGGAATCATGAGGACATAATGTACACCATTCCAGGAACAGCATCACTCTCTATTGATAATGATTGTCTCATCATTGCTGCTGTTCCAGTAAGCAACCAAGAACCTAATTCTTTTCAGGGATCCTTTGTGGTGTCTCTCCTGAGGAAGTGGAGCCAGTTGATTGTTGTACACTATGAGTATAGCAGAATGATGAACTATGAACATGGTTTTATTGAATTGCTATTAATGATTTAGCTATTTATTTATTTGATTTTCAATTGTTCTACTAGAGTGAAGGGTGTAAGCAATTTGGAGTCATTTTCTGGCTATAGTGGCCCATAAGCCTTGGGGGGAATAAAAGATTGTTTAAATTGTGCTCAATTTCCATATTGCATCGATTTTTTATTTTCTATCTATAAACTTGTAACCCTTCTATGCCCCCACTCATTTTTAATACTCTTCTTCCTCTCTTATTACGTACTATCATGTATTGTTATTTTATTTGTTTATTTATTGTTATTGTTATTATTTATTGTTGTTGTTGTTATGATTTTCAAACCAGCAACCAGGAACTTTGCAGAGTATAGAAGTCACTCCTGGAGCTTTGCTTTTTCTTTTATTTATTTCTTTATTTTTCTATGTATTTCTTTTGGAGAGATTGCACTAATGGTATCAGGCTGGGTTATTTGAGGGACCAACTTATCCCAGTTTGGTCTACCCATCCTATTGGGTTTGGCCGAAGAGGCAGGTCCAAAATCTTGTACGTGTCATTTGGTGGGTTCCAGGAAGAGACACTATTCTGTCATGGGACTCGTCCTTTGGAATATCATCCCCTCAAGAATTTGCTTGGCCTCAATCCGGCTAAAAGATATGGTTCCATCTCTAAGCTTGGGGATCTTGATGTCTGGTAGAGTCATTATGTTGATTGTTGTAAGTGGTTCCTTATACCTCAGCTCCTGGTTGTGTTGTGTTGTTTTTCATGCAGATTTTAATATGGTTCATTCTTTTATAGTTTTGCAGTTGTTGTAAACCAACACAAATTATCTATTTCACAGGGGTACCCATATAAATTGAAATTATATCTAGGTGTATTTATAGTCATACATAACGTACATATATAGCATTTATGATGCAATTTCTAATTAATGAAAAAAAAACAGCTTGTGTTCATACCTGCAGAATCGGACATTGGTCTTAAGAAAAGGTTTTGGTTAGAATTTGTGTGTGTGTGTATTATGAAAAGTATTTCTTTGTAATAAAAAAGTATATTATGCATCTTTACAAAATTGTAGAGTTACCTTGAGGTAAGATGGGCAGCCACTAAATTTTACAAATACATAAATCAATTTTAAATGTTTTTACAGAAGTGGATGCCTAGTATATTTAAAGCACAATAATAATACCTTTTTTAAAAAAACAATGACCCAGAATGTAATGTGAGATTATATTTGAGTTTTTTCATTCTTACTGCCTAAGCTATGCCATCTACAATTTAAAATGTACATTTTTTTATAGGGTACACCAGCAAGTCATGTACGATATAAAGTAGATGTTGTCCGGTTCCCATATAGTGCAAGTATCTTTGATGTTGAAGAAGAATCTGGACGCGTAGTAACCAGAGTGAATCTTAATGAAGAACCTAGTACATTGTTTAAGGTAACCGTAGGCCTATACATTTCAATATGTTTAAGACAGCGGTCCTGAAGTCATTCTGATATGTTTGGAATTACAACTTCTTTATTTCATAGCAGCACGAGCAATCTACCTCCCAGATTAGTGAATGCCATTTTGATATGTTGCATCATAATACCACTACAATGATTCTAAACAGAGTTTACTCTATACAATAATATTCATATCCATTCTTTAATACATGTTGATATACAAACCAAGTGCAGGAACTTTACCAGAAATTAAATGTAACATTTAAATAAGTATGCTTTGAGCTGAATATCATGTTTCACTGACGTTTTGTTCTATTTTATTCTTAATATGAACAATACTTATAAAATACAGGCAGTCCTCAAGTCTCAACAATAATTGGGAGTGGGTTTCCTGTCACTAAATACAGGTAGTCCTCAACGTACGACTACAATTGAGCCCAAAATTTATGTCACACACACACACACACACAAAATTGTGTGTGTTTTATCTTTCTGTCTGTTCACCGCCCTGAGTCCTTTGGGAGTAGGGCGGTATATAAATCTAATAAAATGAAATGAAATTTATTTATTTATTCATTCATTCGTTTATTTATTTATTTATTTATTATACCACCCCCTCTCCCGAAGGACTCGGGGCGGTGAACAGCCAAGATTAAAAAAAACATAAAAAAACCAAAAAATGAAATGTCATTGAGATATCATCAATAAATAAAAACCCTTTCCCTTTCTGTACTTTTTTGTTAGAACTCTAGTGTAACTGGGATTCCTTTCAAGGGATACTTCTGCCAGAAAATTGAAATTAGCCTTAAAAATGTGCATAATCAGGAGCTTTTTAATCAGAGAATTAATCTTCACCAAAATGTTTATATTGCAGGTAAAAACAAACGGTATGGAATAAGCCCTCTGGTATTATTAAGAAACGTGGTGGCATAGTGTTAGAGTGCAGTATTGCAGGCGAACTCTGCTCACTGGCTGGAGTTTGATTCCTTCAATCCTGATCAGCTGAAAGTTGACTCAGCCTTCCATCCTTCTGATGTCAATAAAATGAGGACTCAGATTGTTGGGGGCAATATGTTGACTCTGTAAACTTCTTAGAGATCTCTGTAAAAGCACTATAAGCGGTATATAAGTCTAAGCGCTATTGCTAATATAAATGCAACAAAATGTTATTGAGCTTTATGTTGAAATTGATTATATGTCATTAAGTTGTTTTCCAGTTCATACCAACTTCTTAGATAGATTTTCTCCATGACCATCTAACGCTTACCTGATCTTTCAGGCCTTCATATTATGCTGAAATGAAATATCTAAACAATTTTGAGAGAACAAAAAAAAAATTCAATGGGAGTAAGGAAACTTCTCAAGAACCACATGCACATCTCTAAAAAATCTATAGATTTTTTTTCTATTTATTTATCCCTAAGAAAATGCAGTGTTAAAATGTGCTGGTTGAAAATATTTATAGAACTGAGTTTTATAGTTAGAATTGCATTTATGAGTAAAATAAAAAAAGCTCAGAGATTTTTTTTTTTAATGCATTGGCTTTTGGGATGTATGCTGCATATTTTATTTATTTTTTATTTAGGTTTGTTGCTTTTTTTGGTATGATTAATAAAATAAACCCCCAATCTCTAAAATTATTGAATTGAGAAACATATGTTCAGGCATTGTGTTTGTGTGCTTAACAGCTGGTGGTCATTGCCTATGATGATGGGGATCCGGTGAAGTTTAATACAACCACAGTAGAAATTTCCGTATTGCAACCCTCCGTAATTCCACGTTTTACCCAGGATGAGTACAGGTATAATATCTTCTCTCGTTAATGTTATTTTTGAAAAAATTGGAGGGCAGACATTGGCTTTCTTAACTCTTATATTCAAGATGTTGACCTTCACTTTTAAAAGGCTAATTGGGCCAAGACCTTCAATACGCTTGTATCTAGGAGCGCTATAACAATATTGCAGGTGTACAAAAGAGCCTTTTTGGAAAGGGGGGTGGTCCACATTAGCCCTGACCTTCTCTACAGATGTTTAGGAAAGCAAATATATCATTTTTAAAAAAAATTGTGTTCAATTGAATGTATAAATGATTTATGCGTTTTGCATGATATGTTCTATTGCGTCTTCTAGTTTGCTGGTATCTAATCAGAACACTACATTCTGAGAGCCATGATGTTTTAAAATAGCAGAGCAAGTCTTTTTTACTGTTGTTGTGTATATTTTGGGCTTAGGTTAAATAATTAGAACACACTGACTCTTGTTAGAGTTTACCAGTCCTAGAGCGTTTGGCAGAAATATGTAGCATGCAGAAAGGTTTCTGGTTCCATTAAATACAGGAAATTGATCACAAGTGCTTATAAAACAGCACGGGATGTTTCTGTTCTGGCTATCAGTGTCAGGAAAAAGGTGATGCGAAGTCAATTAAACAGTGCTTACAACATTTTTAATAGAATATTGCTATTTGTGTTTTCCGGTTGTGCAATTGTCCTCTCCCGGCAAGTGTCCAAATACAAAGGTTTGCAGTATACATGTGCTTTATGCATAGGGCGACCATGCTGTTAAGTTTTCAGGGTGCCCAATGCAAAAACTACATTTCTTCTTTTGTTGAGCTGAAACAAAAAGGGGAAAAAAATTAAACTACTATGGATATGCATTAGGAAGAAGCCTCAAATCAACTGCCAAAGGAGAATATTTTTCCTGTTCTTTTGTTGTTCATGACATGGGTTGAATTGACTCCTTTGCTGTTCTGTCATTGGTAGCTGGTGTTTTAGACTCAAATCAAAGCAAGCATAAGTTCTGCTTGCTGGCCACAGTGACAAAAAATAATGTAAATGTGGCCTATTTTGTTCTGTGCTTGGATCTCAAAACCATAACGGTCTCATGGCTTATGTCATGACATCATCATGCACCTTAGTCATTCCCTGCACTGGCACCTATGAAAACAGATTCCCCCCCCCCTTTCTAGCAATGGTGAAATTCAATTTTTTTATACTACAAGTTCTGTGGATGTGGCATGGTGGGCATGGTGTGGCTTGGTGGCATGGAAGGGAAGGATACTGCAAAATCCCCATTCCCTCCCCACTCCTGGGGGAAGGATATTGCAAAATCTCCATTCCCACCCCACCTCTGGGGCCAGCCGGTTCTCCGAACTGCTCAAAATTTCCTCTACCGGTTTTCCAGAACCTGTCAGAACCTGCTGGATTTCACCCCTGCTTTCTAGAATATGTAGCAAGTAATGATCCCTAATGTAATCTTGTATTAAACTAAGTTATCTTACTTTTCCATTAATGCAGCTTTATGTATTTGTATCAATCAATCAATCAATCAATCTTTATTACGGTCACACACCAGCAAATAAAAGCATTAAAACAATAACACTAGTAGTACAACAATAATAACAATAAATGGTTTTAAATAAAAATTTAATATTTTAAAATTTAGAAAAAGTACTTCCTATATGTAAGAGATGTGGTGGCTCAGTGGCTAAGACACTGAGCTTGTCGATCGAAAGGTCGGCATTTCAGCGGTTCAAATCCCTAGTGCCGCGTAACAGGGTGAGCTCCCATTACTTGTCCCAGTTTCTGCCAATCTAGCAGTTCGAAAGCACGTAAAAAATGCAAGTAGAAAAAGAGGGACCACCTTTGGTGGGAAGGTAACAGTATTCTGGGCATATAGTCATGCCGTCCACATGACCACATAGACATCTTTGGACAGCGCTGGCTCTTCGGTGTTGAAACGGAGATAAGCACCGTCCCCTAGAGTTGGGAACGACTAGCACATATGTGTGGGGGAACCTTTACCTTTACCTTTACTTCCTATATATACTATTGTATAAAAGTAAAAAGTAAAAAGAATTTTAAAAAATAAAATAAAAAACAATAATGATAATAATAAAAAATAATAAAAGACAGAGAGAGTAATATATTGCCATTGGTGGTGGATTAACAGTGGGCAGTTAAAGTCATTTTATGTACAACACAGCAGAATTTGGTTACATCCAGTGGTGTGTTGCCCCCGGTTCGCACCGGTTCTATAGAACCGGTGGTAAAAACGGCGGGAGGCTCCGCCCACTGACCCTGACATTATCAAAATGCTTCTGTGCTTGCACAGAAGAGCGCGCACTAATGAAGCAAGCATGCGCACGCGACCCCATTGCGAACCAGTAGTAAAGGTAAGTAGAACCCACCCCTGGTTACATCCAGAGAAATGTTAAAGCAGCAAGATATTTATATCGAATAAGCATCCCAAATACCTAAAGGGCATTAACTTCAGCATATTACAATGCACTTCATACGTCAGTTTTGGAGGGCCGATACAAAAAAATACCATATGAACTGAGATTATGCTCCTGTGGATAAGGGGCCATTTAAACTGTGGCTCATTTCCTGCTGTACTGCATTTTCTATAAAGACTCACGGACTCCGTTTATAATACCTTACGTAATAAAACATGCAGGAAATACTGATCTTTTTTACGTGCAAGTACTGTTATCAGATCAGTATTTGTACTTGGAATAGATCACCAAGTATTTGTACTTGGAATAGATCACCCACATATAGATAAGAACATAATGTACACAAGAATGAATAGATATATAAAGGTGTGATAAGCTGTGAATGTTTATGTTCTGGAGTTGTACAGAAGTGACTTACTAAAAAAAATTAAAATATTTCTGCAGAAAAATAATAGAAAGCCTCCTTTGTCACTTTGTCCTATTAAAAACATTGTGAGACCAGGTGGAAAATTAGACCTAAAGGACAAAATGTTTTCGTCGTTGTTGTTTTATTTTCAGAATAAATTCTCTTGCGATAAATTCTCTTTTTAATAACTTAAAAGTTCCAAGGTATGCTATTTTTTAATTAATTAATGCATAACTTCTCTTGTCCTCTTCGGCAGTTAGAAAGTCATAGTTAACAGCCTTGGATTACTATTCTAGGCAATAAATTGCTAACTAAATGTGCAATCAATAATAATATGCATTGCCTGTGGACACATTTAACAGGTGTTCAGACATTTTATTTTCAAGCACTAAATACAGTAACATATTTCAATTTTTTCCAAGGAGCGTAGTCGGTCCTAGGCTTCACTTGGAGAGAGAGGCCAATTCTTATGAAACTTTAAAAAAGTTTTTTTTAAAAAATAAGAAAGTTGATGATCTCAGCAACTGATCCTATAGTTTGTTTATTATTTTATTATTTAAATTTATATAGCTGCCCATCTCATATGTATTACTCTGGGCTGTTTACAAAACAATTAGAAGATATATATACAGATAGATAGATAGATAGATAGATAGATAGATAGATAGATAGATAGATAGATAGATGCAGTATGCTCCTTCCCATATTTGGGTAGGTCAGGTTGCTTCAATAGAAAACCCATTTAATCTTCCCTGGTACAAGCTAACAAAGTGAGGAGAACCTGTGGTTTAGAGGTTAATACATCTGCCTAATATGCAAGCAAGCCCAGGTTCAAATCCCAGAAGGGTACGGCTAGCTGATGAGAGCTAAATAGCTTGAAATAGATCTATACTAGTCTCCATTTATTTCTTTATCAGCAATTCTGTTGTTTGCTATTGTTAGAATAGCGAACTATTCTAAAAATATGAATTTCAGGTATATTTGTAAAGAAAGAAACAGACATTCTGCAAACTCCGGAACTAAAATAATTAAAATTTTATTCTACTAAGCTTTCGTCAGCCATCTGCTGACATCATCAGAGTATTAAACTACCATTACAGAGATCTCTGCCTTTATATGCCATCAATCTGGCCATTGCACATGTAAAAGGGAAACGGCTGGAAGGGCCAATCGCCAAATTGAGTAATGTAATGTAATGTAATGTAAGTAATATAAAGGCAGAGATCTCTGTAATGGTAATTTAATACTCTGACGATGTCAGCAGATGGCTGATGAAAGCTTAGTAGAATAAAATTTTAATTATTTTATTTCTGGAGTTCGCAGAATGTCTGTTTCTTTCTTTACACACACACACACACACACATACACACAATACTGCAACAATTCAATAACAATCTAATATAAAAACAAAAGAACCCATCATAATCCCATTCATCTAGACGAGGAGTGTCAAACTCATGTCGTCATGGTAGCGTCATATGATGTATCAGGACTTTTCCCCCCTTTGCTAAACCAGGTCTGGGCATGGCCAGCACGTGACACATCTGGCCCGTGGGCCGCGAGTTTGACAGCCCTGATCTAGATAGTCCGTACAGCCATCGTATTGGCTTTACTCTGCTTTTGTGTTCTCCTGGCAAAACTACCAGTATGTTTTCAGGGCTTTACAAAAAGCCGGCGGTGTTGTGGTCCACTCAGTCTATACAGCCAGATGACTCTCCTCACTGATGGGTCCTGCAGTACACCTCTCCTGCCAAATGGGATGGGATGGGTTAAATATAATTGGGGAGAGCCAGTTTGTTAAAGGGGAGAAATCAGCTTTTATGCAGGGAACAGAACAAATTGATTACATGCATTAAGTATATGATAGGTATATCAGAAAGCAACAAGTCATTAATATACAATACTTTGTTTGTTTTTATTAGACATTAGAAAAGACAGACGTCCTTAGCTTTAATACCTATAATTTCTGTTTCTTCAGATAGCTAATGGTCACAGAAACCCTTTTGCCTTATGTAAAATATATTGCATTTCCTCCCTCTCCCATCCAGGTTTGTTTCTTTCAGGCACTTCAGAATACAGTCCTATTGTTTGGTTGCCCTCACCATTGTTTCTGAAAAGGCTAGTTTTTGTACATTAGAGGAAGGCGACTTAGGTTCAAAGGA